GAATAATTATTACAAAATAATATGTGAAAAAATAATAATAATAAAATACAAAAGTAATAAAATTAAAATGATTTAAAAATTATTTTAAAGATTGGGACGAATTAGGACCAAAAATGTTGGGGCCCAATGTGTACCAAACACCGTGCAGGGAGATAACGTATTCCAAAAATATTAAGTCAGCAGAGCACGTGCTGACCTGCTCATCTATATAAGCAGCAGAGGTGTATTGATTCCCATGCTGCCAGGTCGTTGCGTGACGATGCAGTCTCATAATCTGCGTGTATGTTTTTTGTGGATGTGCTCCATAGTGTGCCAATACCCCAATTGCAACTTCCCGATTGTCGCCCTTGCCTCTTGCGCGCCAGGAGCTGACTGGGCCGCGCGGAGCCGCTTTGAAAGGGCTCGCCGGCCAATCAAAAAGAGACAGCCACGGACCCATGGTGCACTGCTTGGGAGCGCCGGATTGGCTCCCATGCACCAGCACTCCAGCAGCCTCCACCCCATTAACGAAACGAGCGGAGGCTTGTAAATACTATGGGGGCTGCTGGTTCGATATTTATAAACCCTTCCGGGTTTGGAGATTTGTTTCAATATCGCTTCGGAAATGGTAAAATTAACGAATTATTAACGAATTAACGAATTAACGAAACGAATCGCACAGGTTTCCCTAGATCTAGACACTAGGCTCCTATTGATGCAGGCCAAAATCCCATTGGCTTTTTTTGCCGCCACATCACATTCCTGGCTCATGTTTAACTTGTTGTCCACAAGGACTCCAAGATCTTTTTCACACGTCCTGCTCTCGAGCCAGGCCTCATTGTCCCCCATTCTGTATCTTTGCATTTCATTTTTCCTGCCAACTTCTATGGGACTCTGGTGGGAGGGCTAAGTGGGTATGTTTTCTATAACATGATTTCTATATTTCTATATTCCTTACCTTTTCATGACCCTTTTCCCCCCATTCCCCTTTGGAAAAAATGTATAAAAAATATAAGGAAGCCACCCTGACCCTGGAAAGGAAGAAATTAACTATTGAAAGAACCTTATCAAAAGACACTCTTTGTATGGACTATAACAAAGGATCGTGACCTCTGGCATCAGAGGTTTTGGCCACCTGAGGAAACAGCCGCTTGGCAATTTTGATTATATCACAATGGGACAGAGGGGAGCCTTCGGAAAGCTGCACCTCACCCTGATCTGTCAACCATTCAATCTCTCTACCAAAACATCCACTCAAGGTTTCCCCCCATTGTTCCTCTGTCTTTGCATGGAAGAAAATACGGTTTATGACAGTATTAGAACCACTCAAAGAACAATAGAAGGCTAGCTCATAGGCCTTTAGGACTCGCTGGCCCCTTGGACATTTCCTGAATTTCCATAATCCACTCAAGAATGCATTGTATTCCCTCGTCCCGCCTCCCTCTCTCCTGATTTGCTGAAGCGCCGAGGCGGCTGAAGCCCTGTGATTGACCCAGGTGAGCAGAAGAAGCCTTGTGATTGGCCCAGGCGCCCGAGAGGCGCCAGCCAATCACCTTCAAGCCGGGCAGAGGGCAGGGAGCGCAAGATTCAAACTGGACAACTCTTTCTATAAAAATGGCTTTTATTTGTACTAATGCATGCTTAGCTTGGCGAAATATTGCTGCTTTGCATCCTTTTCAGCTGAATCGCAATAAAATCACCTTGGTGGCGCTTCCTTCAACTTTGGTGAGATTTCTTTGGGGAACTTAGGGAAAAAAACCTTTTAAATTGGGCTTCTCTTTGCTCACCATTGTAGCGAGCCCTCTTTGGTGGGTCCGCAGGGTCTCTCCTTCAGGGCCAGACCCTTTTAAATTCCACCTCGATTTCAGTACTTCCTCAGCATTGTATGTTCCCCCTGACCTCACGGGAAAATATTACACACCTGATTATAGTTATTCTTGTTTACATTGTATTTGGTTGGGCTACGTCACATACAATACACGGCACACTCTCCGTTAACCGGCACCCATGGGGATTGGTTGATGTCGGAAAAATGTCTGGTTTGAGTTACAGTAGAGCAGTGTTTCTGAACCTGGGGGTCGGAACCCCTAGGGGGCTCACAGGGGGGTTTCAGAGGGGTCGCGAAAGACCATCAGAAAACACATATTTCTAATGGTCTAAGAAACCCCTTTGGCTGAGAAGGCTGAAGATCTCAACGCCTCTCTGGACGGCAAATCCTCCCACCAAAAGCCCTCCTCTGCTGTGATTGGCCAGCCTCTCAGCCAAGGGGAGGACTGTTTATGAGACTCCCGGCAGGGAGGGGAGAGCAGGCGTGCATGTACGGGCAAGGGAGAGCAGGCGAGGCTGGAGGGAAGCTCACGCCAGCGAGTCGCTTCAAGACATGTGGGTTCTGTGTGGGAAGTTTGACCCAATTCTATTGTTGGTGGGGTTCAGAATGCTCTTTGATTGTAGGTGAACTATAAATCCCAGCAACTACAACTTCCCAAATTTCAAGGTCTATTTTCCCCAAACTCCACATTGAAGCATCATGAGCATTCGTGTCAAGTTTGGTCCAGATCCATCATTTTTGAGTCCACAGTACTCTCTGGATGTAGGTGAACTACAACTCCCAAAATCAAGGTCAATGCCCCCCAAACCCTTCCAGTATTTCCTCCTGGTCATGGGAGTTCTGTGTGCCAAGTTTGGTTCAATTCCATCATTGGTGGAGTTCAGAATGCTCTTTGATTGTATGTGAACTATAAATCCCAGCAACTATAACTCCTAAATGTCAAGGTCTATTTCTCCCTTCCTGGACCTGGACCGGTTTGACTAAAGACGCTTCTTCTGCGGACACTGGAGCAGCGCTCTTTCGGATTCCTCCCGCTTCAACCCTGGACTTCAGCTGACGATGCTTCTCTTCCTGCGGCCCCTCCTTTTGTTAACCATTTGTGTACTGTGCCTTTTGTTTTGCCTCAGAGCACTTTGTTTGGTTCGTTTCTTTTGCATCTCGTTAATCCGGATTATATTTCTGTTAACCTTTTTGAACCTGGTCTGGTGTGTTTCTTGAGTTTTGTAAGTACCTCTGCGTCCTTTTTCTTTTGTTTTAATACACTCTGTTTTGAAGCCACTTTTGAGTCTGGCCCTTTAAGGTGTCTGTGATTCCAACACCTGCCATAGATGTGGGTGAAACGACAGGAGAGAATGCTTCTGGAACATGGCCAGACAGCCCAGAAAACTCACGACAACCCAGTATTTATTACAATCTTGCATATTTTTCTTTTCAGAGGAACAGTGGAACAATTCACAATTTTTGTGTCCAAATACGTGTGTGAAACACAGAACTCGTAAACTGCACCCAAAGAAAAATGAGATCATGCTATGATAAAAGGGGCTCACAATTAACACCATACAATATTGATTTCTGTTATTGTAGGAATATAAGGCACAAATGGCTGCCTCTTTTCAAAAAGGCAAGTTTCTAGCTTCTTTTTTTCCCTTTTGCTTCACACTGATATGCCTTAAATTTTGAATCAACAATAAACATCTCTAATAATAATAATAATAATAATAATAATAATAATAATAATAATGAGCCATGGTGGCGCAATGGGCTAAACCAGTGTTTCTCAACCTTCCTAATGCCGTGACCCCTTAATACAGTTCCTCATGTTGTGGTGACCCCCAACCATAACATTATTTTCGTTGCTACTTCACAACTAATTTTGCTACTGTTATGAATCATAATGTAAATATCTGATATGCAGGATATAGTTTCAGTTACTGCACCAAATTTGTCACAAATACCTGATTCATCCAAATTTGAATACCGGTGGGGCTGGGGGGCAGATTGATTTTGTCATTTTGGATTTGTAGTTGCTGGGATTTATAGTTCACCTACAATCAAAGAGCATTCTGAACTCCACTAGCAATAGAACTGAACCAAACTTAGTACACAGAACTCCTATGACCAACAGAAAATACTGGAAGGGTTGACCTTGAGCTTGGGAGTTGTAGTTCACCTACATCTAAAGAGCACTGTGGACTCAAACAATAGTGGATCTAGACCAAACTTGTCATGGATATTCAATATGCTCAAATGTGACCAGTGGTGGACCTTGAGATTTGAGTAATTGCTGGGGTTTATAGTTCACCTGGGAGCCCCCGGTGGCGCAGTGGGTTAAAGCACTGAGCTGCTGAGCTTGTTGATCGAAAGGTCGCAGGTTCGATTCCGGGGAGCGGCGTGAGCTTCCGCTGTGAGCCCTAGCTTCTGCCAACCTAGCAGTTCGAAAACATGCAAATGTGAGTAGATCAATAGGTACCGCTACGGCGGGAAGGTAAGGGCGCTCCATGCAGTCATGCCGGCCACATGACCTTGGAGGTGTCTACGGACAATGCTGGCTCTTCGGCTTAGAAATGGAGATGAGCACCACACCCCAGAGTCAGACATGACTGGACTTAATGTCAGGGGACAACCTTTACCTATAGTTCACCTACAATCAGAGCACTCTGAACCCCATCAATGATAGAATTGGGCCAAACTTCCCACACAGAACCCCCATGACCAACAGAAAGTACTGTGTTTTCTGATGGTCTTTGGTGATCCCTCCGACACCTCCTCACGACCCCCCCCAGGGGTTCCGACCCCCAGGTTGAGAAACACTGGGTTAAACCCTTTTGCCAGCTGAACTGCTGACCTGAAGGTTGGGTTGCTGACCTGAAGGTTGCAGGTTTGAATCCACGAGACGGGGAGAGCTCCTGTCTGACAGCTCCAGCTTGCAGGGATATGAGAGAAGCCTCCCAGCTAACAGATCCGGGCATCCCTGAGCAACGTCTCTGTAAATTCCCTGACACCAGAAGCGACTTGCAGCATGTTCTCATCGCTTCTGACACAATAAAAAAATCTCTAAACTCATCCTTTTTCAAATAGAGCTGGAAAATTAAAACAAAGAGACAGAATTAAAATGTTGTGACCACCGTATATGAGTGATACAGCTTCATAAAAATAAATCCACAAGGTAAAATCCACAAATTCAACACTGAGATAAATGTATTCAAATAGTTTTTAATTTGTACTAAAATTAATAATTATGGTGAGAATCCAGCTTTATTCATGAAGTGAAATTGGCCGATATAAATTCACCCGATACTGCTACATTCAAAAAATTCATTACATGGAATGCATGGTTTCTCCCCCTTCCGCCTTTTCAGTCGGATTTTGTAATGCAGATACAATACGTTTTTAAAAGGCTACAGCAAGTAACATTGGTAATCCAAAGGCAATAAAAATATTAAGATAGAAAAATCCACTATAAAGCTAAATTGGATCATCTCTTGTTTAGTTTCCTACACTGAAAAGTTAGGCCTAGTTCTTCTGAAACTGTTTAAAACCCCTTTTCCTAGTTCCAACAGACCTCACAACCTCTCAGGATGCTTGCCATAGATGCAGGCGAAAGGTCAGGAGAGAATGCTTCTAGAACATGGCCATATAGCCCGAAAAAAAACCTACAACAACCCAGTGTTTAAATCACGACACGACACAAAGTTGTTTGGCAGAAGATCCAAAGAGGAGTTGACATTCGTCCGCCCCACTTTTTCCTTGTTACTTTGCAAAGATTCGTATACAATGGCGTCATGACAGGAAGGGAGGATCTGGGCCTGGCACTCACTTTAAAAAAGTACAACAAAATTCACAAATTGATGCTTTGACTGGCCGACCAAAATGCATAAAACACATCATATAAGTGTTCTTCAATTCATCAGATACCTAAGGATGCCTGCCATAGATGCAGGCAAAACGTCAGGAGAGAATGCTTCTGGAACATGGCCACACAGCCCAGAAAACCTACAACAACCCAGTGATTCTAGCCACAAAAGCCTTCGACAATACAGATACCTACATTCATAAAGGAGGAGAAAAGTGACAATATAACAGTTGCAGGCCTGTATTTTGTCTCAGATGTTACTTTTTTTGGACAATAAACAGACAGGAAACAATGAGGGTTTAGATACATTCACATTACCATAATCAGTGGATTTTGGTCTCCATAGTTTTAGGGGAACCCATTTTTCTTTTCAGGAAACAATTAGGCCCAGCTAACACCTCCCAACCAAGGATTCCTCCAGGCAGGAAGCAGCCAGGCCTTGAATCTGCAAGGCTATTCAATGCTAATCAAGCTGGCCAATGGCAACATTCACACTTGCCTCAAACAGACAGGAGTTCTTTCTCCCACCCTGGACATTATTCCATAGATATATAAACCTCACTTGCCTGGTTTCCAACAGAACTCACAACCTCTGAGGACAACTGCCATAGATGTGGGCGAAATGTCAGGAGAGAATGCTTCTGGAACATGGCCCGGAAAACTCACAGCAACCCAAAGGTAAGGCTGTTTTGTGGATTTGGCCAACACAACTCTCAACTTCTGAAGATGCCTGCCATAGATGTGTGCGATACATCAGGAGAGAATGCCTCTAACACAACTCACAACCTCTGACGATGCCTGCCACAGATGTGGGCAAAACATCAGGAGAGAATGCTTCTAACAGAACTCACAACCTCTGAGGATGCCTGCCATAGATGCATGGTACTTCCCCAGCATTGAGGATGCCTGGCTATTCCAACGTAAGGCACTCATTGCTCCTAAATGTCCAATTGCAACGTTCACATTTGCCTCAAACAGACAAGAATTCTTTCTCCCATCTTGGACATTATTCCACACTCGTATAAACCCCACTTGCATAATTTCCAACTCCTGGAACGATTCCATCAGCACTACCTCCGCAAAATTCTGCAAATCTCTTGGGAAGACAAGCGGACTAACGTCAGTGTGCTGGAAGAAGCAAAGACCACCAGCATTGAAGCGATGGTCTTCCGCCATCAACTCCGCTGGACCGGCCACGTTGTCCGGATGCCCGACCACCGTCTCCCAAAGCAGTTGCTCTACTCCGAACTCAAGAACAGAAAATGGAATGGTGGTGGGCAGGAAAAGAGATAGAAAGATGGGTTCAAAACTCTGGCATAGACACTGAGAACTGGGAAGCCCTGGCCCTTGAGCGCTCTAGCTGGAGGTCAGCTGTGACCAGCAGTGCTCCAGAATTCGAAGCGGCACGAATGGAGGGTGAAAGAGAGAAACGTGCCAAGAGGAAGGCGCGTCAAGCCAACCCAGACCGGGACCACTTTCCACCTGGAAACCAATGCCCTCACTGCAGGAGAAGATGCAGATCAAGAATAGGGCTCCACAGTCACCTACGTATCCACCGTCAGAACACTGACCTTGGAGGACCATCATCCTCGGACTACGAGGGATCACCTAAGTATCTGATATGCAGGATGTATTTTCATTCACTGGACCAAAATTGGCACAAATACAATAGGGCTCCACAGTCACCTACGGACCCACCGCCAGAACACTATCCTACTAGGACAACGAGGAATCGCCTAAGTAAGTAATTTCCAATAGACCTCACAACCTCTGAGGATGCCTGTCATAGATGCAGGCAAAATGTCAGGAGAGAATGCTTCTGGGACATGGCCAGACAGCTTAGAAAACTCACAACAACCCAGTGATTCTGAGCCATGAAAGCCTTCGGCAATATATTACTCCTAAAGCTACAGAACCAGCTGCCAATCACAATGCCGCGCTGTGCACACTTCATTTACCACCAACAGCTACCACTGACCAAGTGTCCTTCATCGACCATGCTTTAGCCACTCAACTCTACCGCTCTCGCACTTCACAGTACCCTTCCTGGCACAATTCAACAACCTCCTATGAAACAGCACATACCAACACCCAACAGAAAATAAGGCTTCTTTCAAGTTGCAGAACGACACAGGAGTGGCAGACTTAAAGGTTGAAAATGTAACATTATCTGTTGAATAATATAGAACTGGAAAGTTTCAAAACAGCAAAATGTGAACATATCTGGAATGTATTACAACGCTAGCAGATGCTAAGAAACTTGCATCATCATCAGTTGCATCCCTGACCGCACTTCTGTGTACGAACCCACACGATCTCTTCTGGAGAGGCCCTGCTCGCGCTCCCACCTCCTTCGCAGGCACGATTGGTGGGGACGAGGGAGAGGGCCTTCTCGGTGGTGGCCCCTCACTCCCCAAGGACATCAGACATGCCCCAACTCTGGCAGTCGTTAGGAGGAGCCTGAAAACGTGGTTGTTCCAGTGTGCCTTCCCAGAATAAGGAAATCTCTCAGCAAAATGCCCTCAAAATGCACTTTACCACTGATTTCCTGGCAGGGGGTTGGACTGGATGGCCCATGAGGTCTCTTCCAACTCTTTGATTCTATGATTCTATGATTTAGGACTAACTGCATTCCCTCATCTCTCTTTGAAAATCCTATCCCAGTTATATCCTACCTTGTTCATGCCCAGCATTATTTTTAAACTTTAAATTATTACATAGGTTTTGAAATGCTGTGTGTTACTGTTTTTTTTTAATGTGATTTATATTAATTGTATTGTATTGATTGTTTTTGTTAATTGCTTTTGTTTATCGATGTGCCGTGGGCTTGGCCTCCTGTAAGCCGCACCGAGTCCCTTGGGGAGATGGTAGCGGGGTATAAATAAAGTTTTATTATTATTTATTATTATTATTCTTGCCCATTCCACATTGCCAAAAAAATACAGGAGGATAAAGACTTTACCAGCTGTGTTTTCCTCTTCATCTTCCTTGTAACTGAAAGCCAGTTTATAATCCTCTGAAATACCAAGGCACGTTTAATTAGTGATGCCACCAATGTGACACGTTTTGTACTGATTGGCAAAACACATGTATGTAGAGGCGCTTGGATGAATGAACTTTCTGCCAATTCTTATCAGAGGGAGAAAAGACTGACCAAAATTCAAAACACCCTACAGCGCAACAGTTCTCAGCACCAAAACTGAATTATTCCACGGCGGAACGGCCTTCACAATGTTTAACACAAAATAATATTTCAACAAATACAGTGAGCAGAAGAAACCAACGCACAAGGCTGCAAGGCTTCTGCGCTGCTTTGGCTCTCTCGTCGGCCCCCTGAGTTCTTTGATGAGAGGATGCCACTTCTTCATGTGATCGAATTCTTCTTCTTCCAAAACCGAGATTTCAGCGTTTTCCAGACACTCCTTCGTGGCTTGGACCTCTTCTCCAACGCCACAACTGCTTCCTTCTCCTTCCTCCGGATTTCTCGGACCAGCGTATGGAAGACGTCATCGATATAGTAGCGAAAAGCCGCCGAAGTTTCAAAGAACGGGCAGCCAAACTCTTGCGCCAAGGCCGAGCCATCTTCCTTGGAGACCTGTCTCAAGAGAGAAATTGGAAGCTCTTGTCAGAAATATTAAAAATTAACTAGGTAATTTTGTCCGAACGCATCTGCCTCTTTCAACAAATACATGCCTCTGGGATTTTGACCTGCAAAATGCCTCTGGGATTTTGACCTGCATCAATAGGAGCCTAGTGTCTAGATCTAGGGAAGTCAAGCTACCCCTCTATTCCACCTTGGTTAGACCACACCTGGAATATTGTGTCCAATTCTGGGCACCACAATTCAAGAGAGATATTGACAAGCTGGAATGTGTCCAGAGGAGAGCGACTAAAATGATAAAAGGTCTGGAGAACAAGCCCTATGAGGAGCGGCTTAAGGAGCTGGGCATGTTTAGCCTGAAGAAGAGAAGGCTGAGAGGGATATGATAGCCATGTATAAATATGTGAGAGGAAGCCACAGGGAGGAGGGAGCAAGCTTATTTTCTGCTTCCCTGGAGACTAGGACGCGGAACAATGGCTTCAAACTACAAGAAAGAAGATTCCATCTGAACATATATATTATATATACATATATTATTTTATTACATTTATTACAAGAGAGGAGATTCCATCTGAACATGAGGAAGAACTTCCTGACTGTGAGAGCCGTTCAACAGTGGAACTCTCTGCCCCGGAGTGTGGTGGAGGCTCCTTCTTTGGAAGCTTATAAACAGAGGCTGGATGGCCATCTGTCGGGGTGATTTGAATGCAATATTCCTGCTTCTTGGCAGAATGGGGGCTGGACTGGATGGCCCATGAGGTCTCTTCCAACTCTTTAATTCTATAATTCTATTATCCTATGTGTGAAGTTCCTCTGCAACTTCGGTGTGAGAAGTGGCTCTGTGAGAGCGAAGCTGTTTGAGAAAGAAGCCCAGCATGGAAGCAAAGAAGGAAGTGTAAAGAACTTTGTGTTATGGAAACATTATTCTTGTAAATGGTGCAACCATATTATTTTGCTCTAAAGAAAAGCCTCCTATGGAAGAGATAACATTGGTCTGTGTGTTTTTGTTATTTTTATCACTTTGGGCTATTGGTGTTGGTGCATGCTGCTGCTGCTAAATTAATATATTTCCCTCTCTTTCAAGAAAAGGAGCCAACCAACACTCTGCCTTTGCAAATTAAGAAGAATATTACAATAAGGGCACCTTTTAAAAGCATTTCTTACCTGTCTCAACTTGGTTAGATCAGACTTGTTCCCCACAAGGACCACGGGAGTCTCATCTGTGCGGCGAACACGGTAAATGAGTTGCTTGAACTCGCGCACCTCGTGGAAACTCCGCCAGTCGGTGATTGAATAGCACAGGATAAATCCCTCGCCTGCCCTCATGTACTGGTCTCTCATAGCAGTAAATTCCGCCTGGGAAGGGAGAGAGGAGAGAATCAAGAGTTAGAACAACATCAAGTTAGAATTTCCTATCTCAGCCATGTAAATCCTTGGCATATTATTATTATTATTATTATTATTATTATTATTATTATTTATACCCCGCTAACATCTCCCGAAGGACTCGGTGCGGCTTACAAAAGGCAAAGGCCCTCAATAAAACAACAACATAACAATTACAATAATAAGACTCATAAAGCAAAACAAAAATTAAAGCAATAACAATAAACATTCATAGAATCATAGAATCAAAGAGTTGGAAGAGACCTCATGGGCCATCCAGTCCAACCCCATTCTGCCAAGAAGCAGGAATATTGCATTCAAATCAACCCTGACAAATGGCCATCCAGCCTCTGTTTAAAAGCTTCCAAAGAAGGAGCCTCCACCACACTCCGGGGCAGAGAGTTCCACTGCTGAACGGCTCTCACAGTCAGGAAGTTCTTCCTCATGTTCAGATGGAATCTCCTCTCATTAAAAACAATAACATCACAACACATTTAAAACTAAGGCCAGGCCAAATGTAATGAATAAAATTTAAAAGTGCTGGACATGACAGGTGAAATGTATAGGTTTTTAGAGGTAGGTGCGATGTGCAGGTAATCTTAAAACTCTAGCATATTCAATTACAACAGTGGTTCTCAACCTTCCTAATGCCGTGACCCCTTAATTTAGCTCCTCGTATTCTGGTGACAAGACGCTTACTTCTTGGGAGGAGAGCAATGTCCAATCTCGATAAAATAGTAAAGAGTAGAGACATCAGAATGGCAACAAAGATCCGCCTAGTCAAAGCCATGGTATTCCCTGTAGTAACCTACGGATGTGAGAGCTGGACCTTAGGGAAGGCTGAGCGAAGGAAGATCGATGCTTTTGAGCTGTGGTGTTGGAGGAAAGTTCTGAGAGTGCCTTGGACTACGAGAAGATCCAACCAGTCCATCCTCCAGGAAATAAAGCCCGACTGCTCACTGGAGGGAAAGATACTAGAGACAAAGTTGAAGTACTTTGGCCACATCATGAGGAGACAGGAAAGCCTAGAGAAGACAATTATGCTGGGGAAAGTGGAAGGCAAAAGGAAGAGGGGCCGACCAAGGGCAAGATGGATGGATGGCATCCTTGAAGTGACTGGACTGACCTTGAGGGAGCTGGGGGTGGTAACGGCCGACAGGGAGCTCTGGCGTGGGCTGGTCCATGAGGTCACGAAGAGTCGGAGACGACTGAACGAATGAACAACAACATTCTGGTGACCCCCAACCATAAAATTATTTTTGTTGCTACTTCATAACTGCAATTTTGCTACTGTTATGAATCGTAATGTAAATATCTGATATGCAGGATGTATTTTTCATTCACTGGACCAAATTTATCGCAAATACTAGATAGGCCCAAATTTGAATAGTGGTGGGGTTGGGATTGATTTTGTCATTTGGGAGTTGTAGTTGCTGGGATTTATAGTTTACCTACAATCAAAGAGCATTCTAAACTCCACCAACAATAGAATCGGGCCAAACTTGCCACACATGATCAACAGAAAATAACTGTGTTTTCTGATGCTCTTTGGTGACCCCTCTGACACCCCCTCATGACCCCCTCAGGGGTCCCGACCCTTAGGTTGAGAAACACCGAATTACATCAATATGGTGAGTATATACCTGGCCTGCTGTGTCCAAAATATCAAGGTTCGCAGGTTCATCATCAATTCTTATCCGCATTTTGTAGGCATCCTCTATAGAAAGAGAAAAAATGGGTGAAGCATTCAGTATATCCATTAGCATTGACTTGTGCAAAGGACAACCACCCAAATACCTTCATAATGTGCAAGCAAAAGAATTAGGGGACTTCCACCCATGACTCACAGACAGCTCTAGAATAAGAGGACTGAGGTATTAACAGACTGGAGCCATGTCTGCTTTCTGTAATGGGCTTACAACCCTGTCCAATCCCCACTTCTCCTTAACATTTTGCACTCCATGAACTTACTTGTGCTTGTTGTGACAAATGACGTGGGTTGTGTTCAGTGGTTTTCGTTTAGAGGTATTTCCACATATTAATTTTGTACAAGAACATGTTTAAAAAATGCACTGATTGCTTTAATGTATGTTCCTATAAACATTACAGTAACTGAAGCATGCCTGGGTCCTATATACTTTTACAATCCCAATGCTTTGGGATTGGAAAGATAAACACCCACCAGCTATCATTCAAGGCTTACAAGCTCTTCCTATTTTAGATACATAGGAGTGTGGATTTAATAGAGACCAGCTCCAATATATATCTGTGTGTTTTCAGAAGATGCCACAGAGTCATTGAATAAGAATTGGAAGACACCACATGGGCCATATAATCCAACCCCATTCTGCCATGCAGGGAAAGCACAATCAAAGCACCCCTGACAGATGGCCATAGAATCATAGAGTTGGAAGAGACCTCATGGGCAATCCAATCCAACCCCCTGCCACAAAGCAAGAAAATGGCATTCAAAGCACCCTGACAGATGGCCATCCAGCCTCTGTTTAAAAGCCTCCAAAGAAAGAGCCTCCACCACACTCCGGGGCAGAGAGTTCCACTGCTGAATGGCTCTCACAATCAGGAAGTTCTTAGAATCATAGAATCCTAGAGTTGGAAGAGACCTCATGGGCCATCCAGTCCAACCCCATTCTGCTAAGAAGCAGGAATATTACATTCAAAGCACCCCTGACAGATGACCATCCAGCCTCTGTTTAAAAGCCTCCAAAGAAGCAGCCTCCACCACTCCTGGGCAGAGAGTTCCACTGCTGAATGGCTCTCTCAGTCAGGAAGTTCTTCCTAATGTTCAGATGGAATCTTCTTTCTTGTAGTTTGAAGCCATTGTTCCACGTCCTAATCTCCAGGGAAGCAGAAAACAAGCTTGCTCCCTCCTCCCTATGACTTCACCTCACAAATTTATACATGGCTATCATATCTCCTCTCAGCCGTCTCTTCTTCAGGCTAAACATGCCCAGCTCTTTAAGCCGCTCTTCATAGGGCTAGTTCTCCAGACCTCCTTAATTGCCCTCCTCTGGACACTTTCCAGCTTGTCAATATCTCTCTTGAATTGTGGTGGTGCCCAGAATTGGACACAGTATTCCAGGTGTGCTCTAACCAAGGCAGAATAGAGCATGGGGAGCATGACTTCCCTAGATCTAGACACTAGATTCCTATTGATGCAGGCCACAATCCCATTGGCTTTTTTTTGCCTCCACATCACATTGTTGGCTCATGTTTAACTTGTTGTCCACGAGGACCCCAAAATCTTTTTTATCTGTCCCTTAACTGTTTTTATGATGTTTACCATTGAATTTTTGCTGCTGTTAACCGCTTTGAGTCGCCTAAGGGCTGAGAAAAGCGGTATGCATATGAAGTAAATAATAATAATAATAATAATAATAATAATAATAATAATAATAATAATTTTTCACATGTAGTGCTCTCAAGCCATGCGTCACCCATCCTGTATCTTTGCATTTCATTTTTTTCTGCCTAAGTGGAGTATCTTGCATTTGTCCCCGTTGAACTTCATTTTGGTAGTTTTGGCCAATCATCTCTCTAATCTGTCAAGATCGATTTGAATCCTGCTCCTGTCCTCTGGAGTATTGGCTCTCCCTCCCAATTTGGTGTCGTCTGCAAACTAGATGCAGAATAGGTAGAATAGTAGAGAAGGAAGAAAGGGGAGAAAGAGGGAAAGAAAGGGGTGGGGGGGAGGAAGGGAAGAGAAAAAGAAGGAGAGAAGGAAAGAAAAAAAGGTAGGAAGGAAAGAGGGAGGGAAGAAGAGAAAGAAAGGAGAGAAAGACGGAGGGAAGGTTGGCCACAGCAACGCAAGGCGGGTACAGCTAGTGTATGCATATACAGGGTGAGGCAGCATAACTTCCTTTTTAAAAATGCGCGGCATTCAGTCAGTTGAAGACGTAGTGGAGCGGTAGTGGTCTTGTTCGAGACGCGGGAGTATAAAGTTCTGTCCTGACACAGTTCAGTCGCCATCATGCATTGGAACAGTGAGGAGCGTGCTTTTGACGTTGAGGCCTACTTTTCGAGCAGATTTGGAGTGGCCGGCCCGCTCTCCAGATTGTGATTTTTTCCATGGGGTTTTTTTGAAATCCCGGGTTTATGTGAACCCTCCAAGGCCCCTACAAGATTTGAAGACCAACATCCAGGAAGAAATTGTCAACAGAACACCTGCTATGCTGGCAAGAGTCAGGACAAACGCCAGAAATAGGTTTACTCAGTGTATGGAGAATGGGGACATCACCTATTTAATTTGATCTTCAAAACTACATAACACAAAACTTAAGGTATGCGCCTACATTATATTAAAAAAATCTGATTCATGCAATGGGTTTTATTAAGTTTTGAAAAAAGGAAGTTATGCTGTCTCACTCTGTGTGTGTGTGTGTGTAGCACTGTCAGCTTGAATCACTATCCATATTCTATGCACTCAGTGACAGCGGGAGGACGCAGGAGGCACACTCACCAATGGTGGGGTCATGGTCTTCTGGGAAGCGATGACTAATGAACTGCATGGTCATAGCTATAAAGAAAACAGAAATATTTTAATATGGCTTCGAAGAAGAGAAGAGGGATGTCATGGAGAACCCAGACCATGGAAGGGCAGAAGGAAAAGGCTGAACAGCTCTTCTTAAAGTCAGGAAGTTATTCCTAATGTTCAATCAAATCTCCTTTCCCGTAATTTGAACCAATTGCTCCAAGTCCTAGTGTCCAGGGCAACAAAAACAAGTCGGCTCCCTCTTCCTTTCACATATTTATACATGGCTAACGTATCTCCTTCCAACCTTCTCTTCTGGAGACTAAATGGACCCAGTTCTTTAAGACGCTCCTCATAAGTATTCATAATCTCTGGATTGCTGTGAGCTTTCCAGGCTGTATAGCCATGTTCAAGAAGCATTCTCTCCTGACATTTCACCCACATCTGTGGCAGGCATCCTCAGAGGTTGAGAGGTCTGTTGGAAACTAGGCAAGTGTGGGTTTATACCTGTGGAATGCCCAGGGTGGGAGAAAGAACTGTTGTCTGATGGTGGCAAGTGGCAAATAGGCACCTTGATAGGAGCCCCCGGTGGTGCAGTGGGTTAAACCCCTGTGCCGGCTGGACTGAAGACCGACAGGTCGCAGGTTCGAATCCAGGGAGAGGCGGATGAGCTCCCTCTATAAGCTCCAGCTCCTTATGTGGGGACATGAGAGACACCTCCCACAAGGCTGATAAAAACATCAAAATCATCCGGGCGTCCCCTGGGCAACGTCCTTGCAGACGGCCAATTCTCTCACACCAGAAGCAACTTCTGACACGACCAAAAAAAAGCCACCTTGATTAGCATTTAATGGCCTTGCAGCTTCAAAGCCTGACTGGTCGCTGCCTAGGGAAATATAATAAAAAACTTTATTTATACTCTCCAAGGGGACTCAGGGCGGCTGACATGAGGCCAAGCCCAACAATACAAAAATTCTTTGTTAGGAGGTGTTAGCTGGCCCTGATTGATTGTTGTCTGGAATTTCCTTGCTTTTTGAGTGTTGCTCTTTATTTACGAATGAATAACAACATTGTGTCTCCTCCTAACCTTCTCTTCTGGAGGCTAAACAGACCCAGTTCTTTAAGACGTTTCTCATAAATATTCATAGTTTCCAGAGATTTGATACTTTTAAGGCGCTTCCAGACAGGGGCCTATATCCTGGGATCTGATCCCAGGTTTTCTGCTTGTCAATCTCTCTTTTGAATGGTGGTGCCCAGAATTGGACACAGTATTCCAGATAAAATGTGAATGTTGCAATTGGCCAGCTTGATTAGCACTGAATAGCCTTGCAGCTTGAAAGCCTGGCTGCTTCCTACCTGGGAGAAATCCTTTGTTGGGAGGTGTTAAATGGCCCTGATTGTTTCATGCCTGGGATTCCCGTTTTCTGAGTGGTGTACTTATTTACTGTTCTGATTTTGGATGTTTTCCACCCAGGCAGGAAGCTGCAAGGCTTTGAAGCTGCAAGGCCATTCGATGCTAACCAAAATGGCCATTTGCAATATTCACACTTGCCTCCAGCAAACAAGAGTTGTTTCTCTCACCCTGGACATTCCAGAGATATATATATATCAACTCTTCACATGTGTGTAAATAGTTGTTGTATCTTTACTACAGATGAGTAGATTCCAAATCCTTACAGGCTGCTTCCTGTCTGGGGGAATCCTTTCCTGGGAGGTGCTAGCTGGCCCTGATTGTTTCATGCCTGGAATCCCCGTTTTCTGAGTGTTGTTCTTTATTTATTGTCCTGATTTTGGAGTTTTCGTGTACAGGCAGGAAGCAGCCTTTCCAGGCTGTCAGGGGGAATCCTTTGCTGGGAGTTGCTAGCTGGCCCTGATTGTTTCATGCCTGGAATTCCCGTTTTCTGAGTGTTGTTCTTTATTTACTGTTCTGATTTTGGAGTCATCCCCCCCCCAGGCAGGAAGCAGCAAGGCTTTGAAGTTGCATGGCTCTGAAGCTCGCTGTCAGGGGGAATCCTTTGCTGGGAGGTGTTAGCTGGCCCTGATTGTTTCATGCATGGAATCCCAATTTTCTGAGTATTGTACTTATTTACTGTCCTGATTTTGGATGTTTCCCCTCCGGGCAGGAATCAGCAAGGCTTTGAAGTTGCAAGGTTCTGAAGCTAACTGTCTGGTGGAATCCTTTGCTGGGAGGTGCTAGCTGGCCCTGATTGTTTCATGCCTCGAATCCCCGTTTTCTGAGTGTTGTATTTTATTTACTGTCCTGATTTTAGATGTTTCCTCCCAGACAGGAAGCAGCAAGGCTTTAAAGCTGCTAGGCCATTCGATGCTAACCAAAGTGGCCATTTGACAAGAGTTCCTTCTCCCACCCTGG